AAAAAAAAAAAAAAAAAACCGAACTGGCTCTAATATCCCCAAAAACAATCCAGAAAAGCAGAACAAACACCTATTCCATTCTGAGCCTCGGAGTGCCCTCCCTGGCTTCTCTCAGCCCCTCGGCTTCACACGGGACCTCCTCGTGCGAGGAAACCCTTTGTGACCATAGGGAGACAGAGTGGCCTGTGGAAGGGTCCCGGCGGGGGGCCACCCTAGGACAAGAGCCTCAGCCACGATCGCCCACTGTACCTGTTGGAACTGTACTCAGGCCAGCAGAGGGCGCTCAGACTCTGTGCAAACTAGCGCCATGTACCCAGTGCCCCCGGCCTCTAAGGTGCTCGCCCATGCCCCCCTGCCACCCTGCACGCTCCCAGCGAACCCCTTCCAAACCCACTTCCCTGCACTGGTCCAGCCCTGCCTGTGCTGGGCGTTCCAGCCCCAGACTGGGCTTTTAGTTCCCACTACCTGCCCGGAGTCAGGCGGCCCAAACACCCGTGGCAATGCTCCTAGACATGTGGCCCCAGCCTGCTGTCACCCAGCCCACTCCCAGCTCTAGGGTGCGGGGCCCCTCCCTCGCCTCCGCTGTGCTGATGAGGAACTGACGCTCCTGGGTGATCCTGCCAGCCGCAGAGCCTTATCCCTGGCCTCCCTGCCGGGCCCTTGGTGACTGGGTCTCTCCTCTTCCTGCAGAGTGGCAGCAGTGACGACACAGAGCTGCGGTACTCCTCCCAGTACGAGGAGCGCCTGGACCCCTTCTCCTCCTTCAGCAGGCGGGTGCGTGAGCCCGGCCTCAGAGCAGGGCAGACGCCCTCGCTGGCCCGGCCACGGGGGCTGCAGGGAAGCCCGGAGGACCCACCAGCTGACCGGGCCTCAGCCCGCCCTCACTCCCCACGCCACCAGCCCTGGTCTGTTCGCTCAGGCCCGGCCTCGCCCTGCACTCGGCCACAGGGCCCCACACACACCCCAGACCACCGGCATGGCCTCCGTGCCTGCTTTGGTGCCGCGGAGGCCCAGGGTCCACGCCGGGCAGGCCAGGGGCGCCCAGAATATCTGACGGCTCTGTGGGGATGCGTGACAGCGAGTGGCTGAACCCCACGTGCATGCTCGGGGGTCAGGCAGACAAGCACAGAGCTCCCCATGTCAAGGGGCCTCCGGGAGGCCCCCGTCTCTGGCTGCAGAGACCCTGCCAGGGAGAATGGGCCTCCGAAGAGGGCAGAGGGAGGCAGCTATGGCGGGAGTTGCTCACACAGGGGCCGGGTGAGCCTAGATGTGCCGCTGAGTGGAACGGGACACCAGGGAGGCCCCGGCAGCCCCCTGGGGTTCTGTAGGAACGGCAGGGCACGGTCCCTCTCTGCGGCACGCCGGGGCCTGTGGGACCCTCGGGGTCCTCTCCTCATCATCTCCCCCCCCTTCAGGAGCGGCAGCGGAAGTACCTGAGCCTGAGCCCTTGGGACAAGGCCACACTCAGCATGGTGAGTCCCCTCCTCCACGCCCAGCCGAACCTCTGACTCTGGGCCTCCAAAGACACCTGCCCTCCGTCCAGTCTGGAGAGGCCCCAGGGACCCCACTCACCCCTCACAGGCCCTGCCATGAGTGGCTGTGGGACCTAGCACAGGGTCCCTCCCTGTCCAGGACAGCTCCTCTTGGTAGCACCATTCATGGTAGGTTCTGGAATGGTGCCGCAGGGGGCGCCATTCCTTAGCACTCCTGGGGCCTGATTTCTCAGCCCCACTGCCTGCCCTCCCCTCCTCTCGCTGCCGGGGTCCCTCTGTGCAGGAACCCAGGGCGGCCCTTCAGGGCTGGATGAGGCCTGTCCCCTCCCCACTGCACACCTTGTTGCTCCCCAGGGACGACTGGTTCTCTCCAATAAGATAGCACGCACCATTGGCTTCTTCTACACACTGTTCCTGCATTGCTTGGTCTTCCTGGTGAGTATCCAGGCAGGCAGCCAGGACTGCCTTCACCACGCTTCCCGGACCTCCAAGGGCAGCGGGGTCCCTATTATCGTGGCCTGGCACCCTGGGCCAACCCTAAGCCACACCGTCTACCCTTGACTACTTCTCGCCCCTTCTCTCCCTCTGGCTGGGGCTGCAGCCCAGGTGCTTGCTCTGTGGAAACAGCCTGGCTGACTCCATCCAGGGGCCGGGCCTAGAGGGGCTCGGGGGCCTAGAATGGCCACTGTGGAAGCCTGAGGCAGGCAGGAAAGAAGGTCTAAAAACTCTACTAAAGGCCAGCCAGGTGGGCTGCAGAAGCAGGGACATCTTGAACTGAATCTCCTCAGATGCAGAGTGATGGTCCAGTTAGAGGGCACGGCCTAATGATGTCTGCAAGTCCGCTGAGTCAGGGAATCAGAGAGGGTAGGGCGTGCCTGCGGAAGGCTCCGGCCTCGGGGACTCCCGTCCCCAGCAAGGCCCCGGTCAAGATGGCCCCTACATGGTTAGCCTGGGCTCCAACTCCCACCCCAGGGCCAAAAGGTTACAATGTTAAGGACCGTGCCTCCGTGTCCAGGCCCGCCTGGCCGTGTGTGACACAGGTGGGCACAGGGGCATCTCTGAGGCCCTCTCGCCCTGGGGTCTGGGCCGTGAGAACCGTCAAGTGCCGCCGGGAAACCAGGCCCAGGGTCTGGGGGTAGACGGCAGGAGTGGGGGTGAGGCAGGACAGACGGCTCACTGTGTCTCTGCCTGGCCAGGTGCTCTACAAGCTGGCGTGGAGCGAGAGCATGGAGAGGGACTGTGCCACCTTCTGCGCTAAGAAGTGAGGACATCACCCGAGTCCCACCACAGCCCTGCACTGAGCCCCCCAGCCCC